TCTTTTCTTCCTTCATTCCCTACCAAAATCATTAGTAAGTCCTCCTCATGATATCTCAAAAATTGATTCCAAATATACCCTCTTCCTTCCATCTCCAGTGCCATCACCCTGGTCTGAGCAACCATCACTACTTGCTTAGACTATCACAGTAGCTTCCAAACTAGAATTCCTACACTCATTCTTCTTACAGAACTGCCAGAATGGGCTTTCTAAAATCCAAATATAACCATTTCTTTTCTGAACATTTTACTTCCGTATATTATTTTATTTCAAAGCTAAGTAACCAGAGAAATTACTTAATTGAATCATATCTCTTTTTGATATGGAGAGACCCTGAATTCAAGAATAACTCAGGCTGCCTGAGGTTTCTACCTCCAGCAAACTTACTGCCCCTCCCCGGAGCTACAGGGTAACCTGAAATCTGGAATAGGGTAGACTTCCTGCTTCTCTGCCACCTCCATTTTAGGGCAGGTTCTGAACCCCTTCCACATTCCTAATATTCAGAGACCTCCCCTCTCCAAATTCCCCAGTCGGGGCCAGAGATACAGAGTGTTAGCTCCTCCATGCCCGCCGGTGTAATAGAGAGTTATCCTTTCTCTCCTGAGTGCCATTTCTGTTCCTCAGCATCTGCTTTTCTTCAACATTTGGTGCATTGGCTGGGAAACAGAATCAGAGTGGCCCTTTGAGCCACTGATCCCATGGCATTTCCCCTTGGGATGGGCACTATGATATGGAGAGACAGGCATACTCCCATTTCATTTGATGGGATCCCTTAGCTGGGATGCCTGCCCTGAGGCTGAGCATTCCTGGATCATTGGACTCTGGTTGGAGAGAAGGACCAACTTCTCGACCCTGATGCATCAACCACGGTCAATTCTGGTAATCTGGTAAGCCCCCAGGGATCTGTAGAGCTCTAGTTAGACCTACTTGAATAGAGTAGAGGAGGAGACTCAATCACTCCTTTGGTCACATGCCCAGCAGTTAGGATTCATCTGGTAATTAGTTGGTGTGGGGAATGAATGTGAGTGTTTGTGACAAGCAGATGTGATTGTGGCTCCACGGCTTCTCTCTATGGAGCATAATTGGGTTCATGACAGCATTTCTGTGGTAGTTCCATGAAAGACTAAATGGCAAAATTGGTGCTGGGTCCCCAGTCCTTCTCTACGCATTCCATCTGGTGGAGGGTTTACATCCTATTCATTGTTGCCAAAGAACTACAGAAAACCTGCGAGGGACATGGCCAGATGGACGCCTGATTGGTCCCCTCTGGGGAGCACTCACCCTTTCTCTGTTGTGACACCATTCATGGGAGGGGGGACACAGAGGCCAATGGGAAAGTTTTCCCTGTAGAGGCAGATAGGCAGAGTAGCAAATGTCAGGTCGCCGATTCTGACCTTAGGGGTTAGGACACAAATTCCTCCTAACTGTAACGAAAAACATCCTCTCAGAGCCCATTCTGACCCTCCTACAAAGTCTTCTACTGCAGAGCAAAACCTGCCCACTCTGTCTGGGAAAGGAGAGGGCGGGCATCACCCTCCATCTAAACAACGTTCCCTTGTCAATTAGCTTGGCAGACTTCCGTTCTCTTGTCCTCCTCTATTCCACCTGCCACCCACCACAGAGATACCCCTCTCCAACACCAGGGTATACACCATTGGAATACCAAGAAGATGGACTCCAGGGAGAGACTGCTGTGGTCCTTCTATTTGTAGCCCTTGGCTGAGGCCCTCCTGCAAACTTGAACAAACTTATCACTTGCACTGCCTGGCCTTTTTAGCAAAGCCCCCAGGAAGCTGCACAGCTTCTGAACCTTTGGGCTAAGGCCCACTCCTAGGAGCTGCCGTCCCTCCAGAGTCTCCTCATTGATCACTTCCTCCAACCAGTTATCTCCTGAGCCTTCTGGGAAGTGCAGGCTTTTGATAACTGAAGAGGTAAGAGATATTTGGGATATGATGGGAAAACCTTAATCCAAGTCAACCAAACTCACTGTGCTGGACTGTATGCTGACTAGGTGCAGATGGGACTATTACAGAAGAAAGAGTAACTCTCTAATACCAGCCCTTCACCACTACCAATTTGTTTAATTGGAAACACAACACCCCCTCCTAGTTGGAACAGCCCAGGCAATAATAGATCTCATGGAGTCTATACTCCAAACCCACCAGCTCACCTGGGGTGACTGTCAGCAACTACTCCTCACCCTACTTAACACAGAGGAGTGTGACAGAGTCCTTGTGGCAACAACGAAATGGCTACAGAAGCATGCCCCCAATGATGTGGTAGATCCCAAGGCTTGGACCAAAACTGCTTTTCCAAGTGAAAAGCCTGACTGGGATTTCAATACTGAGAGTGGCCATTGCCCATCTCAACAAGTATCAAGAGACACCCCTGTGGGGAATGAAAGCCAGTGCAAAGAAGCCTACTAACATGGCAAAAACTACCGAAATAATTCAGAAGACAGATGAACTGCCAGTGCAGTTTTATGAGAGACTCTGTGAGGCATACTGAATCTATACTCCATTTGATCCAGAGAGCTCCAAAAGCCAGTAAATGATTAATGCCGACTTTGTTGTCCAGTCAGCCCCTGACATCTATAGAAAACTCCAAAAGCAGGAAGGCTTTGCTGGGATGAATGCCACCCAGCTCCTGGATATTGCTAATCGAGTCTTTGTGAACTGAGACAGAGAAAAGAAAGGAAGCAGATTGGTGGTTGAAGCAAAGGCAACCCTGTTGGCTGCTGCCCTCAGATGACTGGATGCCCCACCCGGTCCAAGAGGGGGGCCAAAAACTGACCATGCCAGGCTTAGACCAATCCAGTGTGCTTACTGCAAAGAGGATGGACACTGGAAAGATGAATGCCCCAAGTGGAAGACAAACCAAGGAAGAATAACCATAAGTCCACTGGGAGCCCACAAGACTTTTCTCCCAGAATCCCCAAAGGCCTCCTAGCCATGATGGAATCAGAATAGGACCTACTGGGCTCCATGATCCTAGGCCCCTGGGAGTCCCTGGTCAATGTCAAGGTAGGGGGTCAACCAATAACATTTATGGTAGATACTGGCACTGAACACTCCATTGTAACTCAGCCTCTGGCTCCCGCATCAGGCCAAAAAGCTACTATCATGGGAGCCACTGGAAACCAGGACCCAGCCTTTCTTGCAGGCAAGATGGTGTTGTGGTTAAGGTACCCACATGGCCGACCATACTTCAGGTCCTGGACCTGGTGGCTTGCTTTCTCA